TTTTTTTTTTTTTTGTCATCTTTTTTGCTCAACAGCTGAAGATCAGCAGGCAAGACAATGAAGATGCCCCTAACTTGGTGTCTTCTAGGTGCTTCTCAGCCCTCAACCCCAGCTTTTCTCCTTTTCTCCCTCTCCGTAGGAGCAAGGCCCAAAGCTCCCCTAGCTCCCAGGGGGTGTGCAGCACCATTCTCGTGAATGCAGCACTGGCAGAGACCTGGCAGTGGATTCCAGAGCTGCTCTTGCTTTGCTGAAGATAGGAAAACACAAAGACAAGTGAAAGAAAAGGCTGAAAGGGCCTGGTCCTCAACAGCAGCATCATGGCAGCTGCTTCTGACCCTGCCTTGGGAGAACAATTGCCCTTGTTTTGAATTCAGTGTGTTTCGTGTTCCTTGTAGCTCAGCTCCCTGCTGACCACCATCTGGCCCAGCTGTCTACCTGCCACATCACAGCATTGACTTCTGCTTACACTTTTCACAAGAGTGAAAAAAGAAAGAAAAGAACACTACATACATAAACACTGACAGTACGGGGAGGGGGGACCCAAGGGACAACAGGCCAGTGAAGGGGAGGGTCACAGTCGAGGACTGAAAATTACAAAAAGCTTGCAAAAAATATTTGCAAGCAAACGTGTCCGCCAGTCGGTACCTAAGCTTCAGTATTCCTAGCACAGCCCTGAGTGACATGGAGTCTTCCCCAAATACTCACTGCACCGGGCATTTAGTCTACATGGATCTAAAGCAATGAGGAGCTGCATACACAACATCCCCACTCTCAGGAAGCTTTAAAAAAATCCAGTAATGAAACAATTGCACAAGTAAATAATTAAAACCTGTCATATAAATTAACAAATTAAAGCATTTTTTATACAGGACAACCTGGCCTAGTCCATGTGTTAGTGGATTAGAACACCAGCAAGGAGGCTTCCTCAGAATACTGAAGCTGGAAGTACCAGGAAAGATAAACCTACTTTACTAGAAAAATGAAGGAAAGAGGAAGAAAGGCACAGAGGTTGTGGGACAGGCTGTGGCTATACAAAGGTCCTAGGTTCAGAGACAAATACTGAAACTGTGGAACACAAAGGCCAGAGCGGCTAGTCCATGTGTCCGTATGTATTGAAACTAACCACCAGGAGAAACTACATTTGGTATATGCTACTTAATAAGAAAATCAGGGCTGAGGGTGTAAGTCCGTGGTAGAACATGTGCTTAGCGTATTTGAACCCATGGGTCGAATCCCAAGCACTGTCAGAAAGTAAGAAGAAAATCCAGTGTATAATTTAATTTTTAAATTTTTCCATTTAAAAAAACAGTAAAAAGTTTACTGATAAAAATATAAAATATTTTTCCCCTAGAGTCATTCGACACAAAATTTTTAAGCATCTCTCAATTACCAAGTACTATATTAAATTCTAGGGATATAAATGTGAATAGGTTACACTCTCATGAGAAACCTTGAAGAAACTAAGGTGAACAATCACAGCAAAGTGTACATAGCACCCCTTTCGTGTGGAGAGAGGGGGTCAGCAATTACGGGACCCCAAGATAGAGGAAAATGAGTTCACATGGGGTAGAATTATCTTGAAAATTAATTTATGTGCAGTATAGCATTACTGAATGATACCAGCTAAGTGAACTGTGACTGAATGTAAATATGAAACAAACCAGAAAATCTAAACTGACAAATCTGAAAAGGTAATGGAATTGGTTAACGGACTTCGAAGTATGCAGATGATTCTGAGAATCAGGGCACTTCTGGGGGCTTGGAAAATCACTCAAATAACTGCATTTGAGAATAATGAAATTCAGAGTATTTATTTGAGAACCCAAAATAATGAGAAAGAAAAAGAGAGAGAGAGAGAAAGAAAAAAGGGAGAGAGAGAGAGACAGGGAAAGAAGGCAGGAAGAAGGAAGAGAAGAAGAAGGGAAAAGAAAAGAAAGGGGGAGACAGGGAAGGCGGGAGGGCTGAGTTAGTCCTGTCTTTACACTCAGATCAGGTTCAGACAGACACGCAGGAAAGTCAGCAGAGACTTAACTGGATCTTTTGTTGAGATACAAATAGAAGACTTATGCTGTTTATCAGAAAGCATTACCACCATCCTTTTCATACTTGTAGTTTCCAAGATTATTAATAAAACAAAAACCAGGAACCTGGATCTTTACAGGAGTTCTTCGGAGAGTCAGTTGTGTGAGGACTGAGTCCCGCAATTTCTCCGTGTCTCAGTATGTAAGGCACTCCAAAAAATTGTTCGCTAATTTATTGTTTTCAATGAATTCATTATTGATTAATTGCCACTATAAAAACTCAGGAGAATACAAAGTCATTCTATGAACAATGTGCCAGGCTATTAAACATTACAGTCTATAAACAATACTTCCAGTTTACTGAGAATAACTTGATAAGTATTTAATGCTTACTAACTATGAAGCTATGTAAAGCTAAATAGTAGCTCTGGGGTCTAGTCTTTGACTAGAAAGAAAACACAGAGAAAAGCCAGGTGGAATACTTTTGATGACATCTATTCCCTTCTCTTGTATAGAGGAGACGAGGAAAAATGTAAATTGTACAAACACCTGATGTCCTTCTGCATGATGATGAGGACAGGAACAAACAAGATTATTTCTGTTGTCAGACATATCTTTGCACACCTCAGTCATTTTCGCTCAAAAGTGTTTGATAAAGTTGCCTAAAGTGAATAAGGAGTTACAATATGTGTGCCAAAAAGAGTTTGATGATTAAAAAAAAAAAACAACTTGGAAATGGTTTTGTCACTAGATCCAAAAAATGACACACTAATTATATGCAGTGCTACATAATAATTCCAAGTGTAATTGCAGTGTAATTTCTCTGACATGTATTCACTATCCATCGCCATCAGAATTATTATGCATAGATTATGCGTAGATTGTGTCACCTTGTTTTCCTAGTTCCCCACTATCTTTCTGAGGTGCAAACTTTTCAAATATGTAAAAACCTTTTAAAATATGTGGTGCCTATAATACCTCTCTCATGAGAGCACCGAAACATGAATAACAACAATACTAATATTAATGCAAATATCTAGCATTCTGGAAAGCCAACCCTGTCTTATTTCACAGTTCATTTTATAAAATAAGAGTGGTGGTAAGGAGATACCTCCTTTGTAATTTTTCTGTAAATCAAAGTAGTTTGTTATGCTCTTTCCTATGCCATCCATGTCTTTCTTCTCTCTAGTGTCACTGTTCGCATCTCACACAACATGTACAGGGATCTGAAGGATGCGTGTGAGAAGCTTCGTGCAGGCTTTAGCAGGAGGGAATTACCCATAATGCTCAGGCTGTCAAGACCATGGTACCCCCGGGACCCCTGAGGGATAAGCATAGGTGCAGGTCCTCTCACTCGTGCCCCGTCCACACCCCACACTCATTCCACAAAGACTTTGCTAATGTCACAGAAACAAATACTACAATCTCTAGCAAACATACAAAAAGTGCTAGTGTACAGAAATGTGTATTTGACAGAAAGATGGGAAGATGGAAGAGTTACATAAAAAGTAAGGTCTGGGATGGTTATTGTCATGTGTTGACTTGGTTGGACAATGGTGCCTCATGGATGTGTTTTTGTTTTAGGTTTGATTAGCATCTACAATCAGTTGACTTTGAAGAAAGCAGGTTATTCTCCAAAACTTGAGTGAGCCTCAGACAGTAGTTGAAGACCTTAAAGGGCAAAGACAGACAGGTTTCCTGAGAAAGAAGAAATTCAGCCACCAGATTGCAACATAAAAATTCTACCGGAGTTTCCAGCCTTCAGCCTCAAGATTGAAACACCACTGCTTATCTGAATCTCCAGCTTCCAGGTTGCTCAAAAGATCTCAGATGCACCATGGCACAAAAACTTGTGAGCCAAGCCTTTAAAATCAACCGATAGGATGAATGGATGGATAGATAGTGAATAATGATTAAATGGACAGATACATAGATGAATGGAGGGATGGAAGGATAGAGAGATAGATGATAGACAATCTTCCCTCTCTGCTTCAACCTTCACTGTCCATGGTCTCTCTAGCTACACATGTGTGTATCTATATCTGCTTTTGTACCCAAGTTCATATCTGTATCTATCTGACCATCTATATCCACTCGTTTTACAATCATGGATTCAACCTGCCATTGGCTGAAGACATTCAGAAAAAAATTGGGTCTGTAATGAACATGTACCAATGTGTTTAGAGTCATTATTCCCTAAACAATACAGCTAGTGACTATTTACATAGCATTTCCCTTTTATTATGTAATCTAAACGATCTAGACATGATTTAATGTACACAGAAGATGGGAGTAGGTTCTGTGAAAATACTACACCATTTTATACAAGACACTTGAGCATTCAAGAATAATAGTATGGCAGGGGGTCCTGAAAACAATCCAACTACTTATATATTCTATTGGTTCTTTTACTCTAGAGAACTTTGACTAATACATGTATGTATGTATGTGTATATATATATATATACACATATATATATATATATGTATATATATATATATATATGCACATACATATTTGGGGATAGAACCCAGGACCTTTGCACTGAGCTACATTCCCAGCCCTTTTTTTTATTTTGAAACAGGGTTCATTAATCTACTAAATTGTCCAGGCTTAGCTCTACATTTAGATCAAAGTTGTACCCTACGTAAATTATAGGGCCTTAAAAATAGCATCTCCTTATAGTTAACAGATTAATATCAGAGCAAATACCAGAATCATCTGAATTAAATTATTTTTCAATTGCCCACAGAAATTTGGCTCTGGGCCTTCCAGAAGACAATGGCTTTGCACAGGACTCAGGGGTAGCACTTACTGACTGCAGAGTCATAGGCAGTTGAGTTGTGTTGGCCCCGTGTGAAGGGGTACGGGGACAGGTAGGCATGGGTGCAGTTCTTGAATGGTGACTGATTGGCTAGGAAGAGAGCAGAAGGATGATACCTGTCACCAAGAGGCTCAGCGATGATTCACCCCCTAATAGGACAGAATATGGGAGCCTGGCACACAAGCACAGTAAGATTACCAGTTCCATCAGCAAACTCAGGGCATGGTTGTATGAGCAACAAAAGCCCATATCAAGAAGCTCAGGGAAATTGGGGCGGCGTTGATCTAGAATATCCAGTTACCAGATATAACTCAGTGCTCTTAGTTTTGCCTCAGAATCGAAGGTACTATTATTCATTTATGTTCACGTAATCTCCAGTACCAACAGTAGGTATTTAAAAATTATTTTTAAAAAAAACTTTGGTTTCACATTTATTAGTTTCAGTGAAAAGAAAATTTCTTCTAAATCCATTCCATTTTTAGGTAAAAAGTGCAAATGATAGACTATCCCAGTTAATGAGTTGAATGCATTTTCAGCATTAAAAAAAACTCAAGAACTTGTATGTTGTTGCAAAACTTAATTTCATTATGTACTCTTTACAGCAGAGAGTATTTTTTTTTTTCTTTCTCTAAGTGTTTGGGAAAAATCTTCCTCTCGTGCAATCTGACCTGCTTTATTTTCCCAAAGTCTAAATAATTTCCATTGATGGGTTGCTTGCTCACTGTCCAGCCCAAAATGCACTGTAAGGGGGTCAGTTCATCAGAGTCCCCTCAAAGTACCCCGGCATCATCACTCGGTCCCTTTCAGATGTGATAATTTGCCATCAGCTTGCACGAGTCTGCAGGGCCTTCATGTTCTCATGACATATCCCATAATCTTGACTGTTGTGTATATACATACTTTGATTTTTCACAGGAGCATTGATAAAAAATAAATACTATTTCCAACTCTCAGTCAGCTTTAGGCTAATAAACATTGGTGGAGACAATAAAATGAATGCTGGCTATTGTCAATGAATTGATTTTCAGTGGTTAATATAAGAAGTATACTTGAAAGAATGCAGCACAGTCTTAAAAAGTTATTCCATTTCAAAGGATAACTCTAAAGTTTCAATTCGAAAACACATACATCAAAAGCAAAGTAGATTTTGATATTGCCTACAAATTTGGGTAAAGTCCAAATAAAAAGCTTTCATCTCCTCCTAACGGTAATTAAGTTTCATTATTCTTTTAAAAAAACAGATTTTTTTAAACTTTGAAGCTATGAATATAAAAAATACCTCTATTTCTGGATTTTTACATTTGAGATTTCAAGACTTTTATATCCAAAATAACTACTTGCAATATAATAATCATAGACACTTGAAAAAATACTATAGATGATTTCTGTTTTGTTTGTTAGGGTGAGTGTACTTTCAATATGAGGAGAGGAGCAGTGACTGCTTCAGTTTTGCCATATTCAGTCTCCTATTTTGTGGCAGACAATCACTACTCCTAAAGATATTTCCGCTGAAAAGGAATGTCTTCGTGACCTTTTGAAGACACCGTACTAAGACTGGAGAACCCTATCCTGTGCTAAGCGATCGGCACTGAGTAAGAAGCTTGGAGACAAGGGGATAAAGCCAAGTCGTACTTACTGTACCAGAACTTATAGGTGCTAGAATCATTTTCCTCCCTGACCCCGCTAAACCAGCATCTCCAGAAGAATCCTTCATGGTAAAAGGTGATATCTGCTATCTGCACAAAACACAAATTTAGTAGCTTGCTGTCAATCCAAGAAAGAGTTATCAAAATTATTGCATGCAGGGAATTTTTAAGGAAATGTATCTTATCCCAAATAATGATGAGCAGTAGCTCCTCACATCTCTTCTACGAATAAACAGACACCCCACTGCCATTCTCCAACTCCAAGAGGCTCTGTAAAGCTCTCCTCACCACTACCCAATAAGCCAGTATTCTGAAGAAGAGACGCACTTGCTGTTCACCTGAGCACCTCTCCACTTCAGTCGCAAGAAGCCAGTAATCCGATCCGAAAGCCACCAGAAAGAGCAAAACCCCCAAAGCTCCAAAGAGGGCCCCAAAGAAGATGGCGATATTTAGTCTCATCTTCAATAGACTGGTTTACTTTTAAATAAAATTTTTAAAAATTGCGAAATTTCAGATATCCGACTTCTCAGCAAAAATAGCAAAAAGATCAAAAACAAAAACAGACCAAGATTTTGGAGTAGGCAAGACCTTCTCAAGAAGCCTCCCCTGGCGCATGTTCTGTGCCTTCTCACTTGCACAACCCATGGATTTGTGTCCCCTCTGCTCTGCCCTGGAGGGACTCTAGCCCAGCAGCTGAGAATGGCTGCTATTTTAAGGCACTGATTGAAGAGCTATCTTCATCCCATGGGGATCAAAAAATAGCTGACCTTCACTGACTATAAGGAGGTGGGGAGGAGGCGGCTGGGATGAGTAATCCATAGAAGTGGACAGATGACCAGTGACTGCGAAGTCACTGACAATGTTCACCCCCAGTATAAAGTGTCTGAATGAGGTTTTCTTAGTCCACAATGACCATTACAGCCCCAAAGACATGTAATATTCTCTTTGAAGATGCAAAAATCACAGCTATAAAGAACCACAATGACTAAATTGTGATTCACCTTTTAATTCTTTGTCAACATTTGGGAATAGAAAATAATTTTTTGGTTCAGAGTGATGGTTTAGCCATTCACATGTACACTTAAAGAATAAAGAATTTTTAATAGTAACATAATTATTGATAGTATTTTTGAAATACATTTATGCATCATCAACCAGGAATATAAAAACATTTCCAAGGTAACTCACAGATCTATAACGTTATTCTGAAAAATTATCCCAAAAGTAAACTGTTAGAAAAAGTCTCAAAAATATACTGTTTTCTGGATGAAGAATGGGCCTTGTCTACTCATTTTCTCTTCAAAGTAAATAGCTTCTTCAAAACATTAATCATACTTAATACCCATACTAACCACCTAAAATTCATAAATCTATATGAGTGATCAAAATATATGGTGAATGTTTAAGCTTTTAAACATTATTACAGTAAACATACATTGTCATTAACTTCCTCAAAATACTTCTTCTCTCTTCAAACAAACTTTTCTCATCATCCTTGCCTCATTCAGAAGCAGTTCTGGAAGTTCTCTTTCTTAGTGTCTTTCTCAGAGAAAGACAGGATAACTGTTTGAAGGAAGAGGGAGCAATTTGATGGGGATTAATGAGGTGCATCACTTACTGTAATACATTTTTTAAATCCATACATTCACCTTGTTTGATCTTATCTTGTACATTTTCGTCAAGCCTTGCTGCTTTGTAGTTAGCTCATTTGTTCATTTGGTTTTTGTGTCTGAATATGCCAGAGAGTGATTCTTTTTAAAAGGCTTGTGTGCTGTTTATAACCCACACTGCCCCTTTGGCAACTGTGTCCTTGTGTCTCAACAATAGCAGGGACTGCTTCATCTTTTCAGGAGGTATCTGAGCTCCACCTGTTTCTTTTACCCCTTCTTTTGGTTTTGTTTAGGAGAAACACAGACCATGAACTGCGTTAGGACACAGAGCTCTTAGCCAGAATGAAAGGCCCTGGTTGGCTCTGGCTACATGGAACCTGAGGTGCTCAAAGATAAGGCGTGGAGGTCTAAACCCTATTATCAGGAACTGTGAGAGTGACATTGAATTGCAGAGCTCATCTGAGCTGTCCCTTGACCGAGACATCAGTCTTCTTTATAAGACTCCCTGCACTGCCCTGCTATGCACTTCCATCTGGGTCCGTTATGGGATGTACAGCTCTGCCTTACTTCCTGCCCAAAGCTGTGTGCTGGGAGTTTACAGAGTCCCAATCTGCCCTTTGAAATTGCATAGCCCAAGTTTAACCCTTCTGTCATAGGAAATAACTTTCTGATATTCTGTAATTACCTCACACTGCCTCCAGCCACTGCCCGACTCCACCCACATATTTGTTCTTTTTTTCTGAACTGATTCTCCATCCCTTTACCCAACCCTGAAATTGACACAACTCTAGTTCTTTTCCCTTCTGGTTCTTTCCTATAATTGTAAAGAACTTGACTGAAGTGAGCCATAGCAAAGTATTCTTCATATGGTTGTTTTCTATGAAACTGGCAGCTATTTTTCCAAGTTGCCACCAGGAATCCAGACAGAGGAATAGGCTGCCTCATTGCCAAAGTCAGATCCCAAGCACTACTTCAGTTGCATGACCGTAGCCCTAGAGAACACACAAACACACACACACACACACACACACACACACGCACACACACACATGCCCCTCTGAATTATTCCTCTGAAGGAAGTGATGAGCTAGACCTGCCAGGCAGAGAGATACCTCTAAGTCCTTATCTCTGGAACCAGCTTGAATCCTTGCAGATGTGCTGTACAACAGGAAACCTTGGCAAGGGCAACTGAGACCTATCTCTGGGGATAAGGAAGTGAAATTTATATTTTAAAAATAGATTCCACTAACTGCAATCTTTTAACAAGTTCATCCAACCCCCTCTGAATTTGCCCAATGGAAGCATAGCAGCTTTTCAAAGGAGCCCGTGACTTAATGGCATTATTTCTTGCAGATGTGCTGTACAACAGGAAACCTTGGCAAGGGCAACTGAGACCTATCTCTGGGGATAAGGAAGTGAAATTTATATTTTAAAAATAGATTCCACTAACTGCAATCTTTTAACAAGTTCATCCAACCCCCTCTGAATTTGCCCAATGGAAGCATAGCAGCTTTTCAAAGGAGCCCGTGACTTAATGGCATTATTTCTGAATGTTACCCAATGTGACAATGTCCTGGATTACACAGCTGGGCCAATCTAACCATATGAATCTTTAAATGAAAGACAGAGAACCTTTCCTGGTAGTGTCAGAAAGAAAAATGTGACCACAGTAAAAGGTCAGAGACTTGCTGTGTGAACATGGAGGAGGAAGCCACAAGCCAAAGTAAGCAGATAGCCCACAGAAGCTGGAAGAGGAAAAGAAGCAAATTCTCATCCAGAGCCTTCAGGAAGGACTTAAGCCCATCAACACCTGGAAACAAGTGCAGTGAGACCCCTGCGAAGTTTCTAGTCCCCAGAATTATACAATAGCAGATTTATGTTGTCTTAAATCACAACCTGGAATAATTTATAAATAACGTTTCTGTGCTTGTTTCCTATTATCCCTTCACTTTATTTAAATTTTTATCTTGTTATCTCTGTGACTCCAAGTCTAAAACAGGAAGCAACGTGGCTGAATGAGGACTGGGGATACATATCCACTGAAAGGGAAGCCTTCATAGGAACTGTGGGCAAACTGTGGGCTCCCTTTGGCACATAGACTGTCCCGCGTATTAATCAGCTTTCTTGTTGCTGGGACACAATATCAACATCCACAGCCTAACAGAGGATGGGTTTGATTTAGTTCACCGTTTAGAGGATTCAGTCCATGGTCATCTGGCTCCAAGGAACATCATGATGGAAGGGCTTGGTGGAGCAAAGCTGCTCGGTCCCACCTCTTTGACCCATGCAGACACACCCTGAAGTGTGCTCTATCAAACTTCTACATGGCTTCCAAGCCAATCAAGCTGACCCCATCAAGCTTAACCATTGCAGCCCCTCTACCTGTCTTACAGAATAACGATTCCACTCAATCGAGAGTGGGAGCTTCTTCTCATAGGCGAGCGACCTCGGGTAACGGTTCAACTCTGAGAGTCTCTGTTTATATGGTAAACAGGAACAGTGCCTGAGGGGATTTTGGGGTTCAATGATAAGATGACATGTCAACTTAGGTGATGCTTCCGCCTTTTAGACTTATCCTCTGTCCTTCCATTGGCTGGAGGTTGTTTCTAACAAATTTTAAAATGACTTCAAAATAAAACTTTTGCTCTGCCAGTATTCTATATGTGACACTGAGGTCTTTGTCATCAGATTAATTTCTCACCAAACATCCCCAGTCCTCCCACATCCACCCACTCTCATTATCTTCCCTCTTGGCTACCAGTAGTTCCTGAGATCTCTGCCTGTTCTGACTTCCTCTGATCAGGAGGCCCTTCTCATCTATCTACTTCATTCATGCACCTATCACACATTCCTGTTGTGTGCCAAATCTTCCTTCAGGTGTTAGCAATAACACTACAAGGAGACCTGTATACAAGCTAGACCACATTTAAACATTTAATATGTTCCATTCTTCCAGTTTTGTGCATCTTGAAACAAGCTGGGTAAAGAAATGGTTTCTCACTGAATAAACCAGTTGAGTAATGGATAAACCAATGAATAAAAGTTCCATATAAAATGTGCTTTATTATTCTAAAAGATGATATTGGGTACATTGGTCACTACTTTTATAGCATCCTCTTAGGAAGACTGGGAGGAAAAGTTCCAAGTGCTAACTAGAAGTTGCATTTCTATACAACCCTGCTGTTGTTTTTAATATCATGGATGCTATCACTCTTGATTCATTTCACAAATATTTGTAGACAATGTATCACTTGCCTCTATCCTTCTAAGACAGATATCATGCAGTATCTTGAAATAGTGACAGTAAATAAATTAGACTCTTCTACTTCAGTGAGGCAGTATTCTCATGTAACTGAGAGTATGTCTCTCTTTACTTTGGTACCGAAGAAGCCCAGAGGCAAGATACTAATGTGGAAGGCCTGATGATAGACAGTCTGCCCTCTGACTTCCTGAATTTCCTTCTTGTCAACCCTGAGCAACCCCTACTCCTATCTCTCTTAACCTACTATTTGTAAATACTTGCACAAACTGCCTCAAATAATTTTGAGAAAAGAAAAAACTGAACAGTGAAGCAAACCAACAGAGACATCTTGCAAAATCAAGTCTGAGAAGAAATATTTGGTTCTATTTGGTTTTGCCATTCGGTAAGTTCCTTGAAATCTTTGGTCATCCCTCCATTTTTCCCCTTATTCTTATAATTTCTACTCACATAATTTCACTTGTAGATGCCCTTCAATTCCTGGAAACAACTTAGAATCATCAGTCACCTAGAGAAATTGTGGTTAAAAAGCTCAAAAACCAATCTCTTGAAATCTAGAGTATACTGAGATCATGAACATGCCAAGATATGTGCTTGTATCATCAGTACATACCGTATTTCTTAGTAAATATCTAGTAGATTTTATTTGTGAGGATAATGAGCAAATGTTCCTTTTTCTAAGGTCTAAGTGTTCAACCTTAATATTGCAATTTTCTAAATTATCTCAAAGTATTTAATAAAACTATTTAAACATCCTCAAGAAGAAAATAAGTCAGATACACTGGACTTTAAAAATATGAATGCACGACAGTGCTCAAAACCTAACAATGCTGGGAGCATTTGTAAACAAATATAGCAAACAAACTGCCAAAGCTGAGAATCTATGTTCCAGTAAACTGGAACGGTTCGCCAAAGAGAACTAAAAAATCCTTTTAGAAATATATTTTATGGTAGATTCTTTGTTCATGGGATAGTGCAGGTTCACAGTGTCCACAATGAGTACAATATCTAAAATCAAAAGCTTTTAACAAAGCAGACCTGGTATAAAAATTAATGAGGATTCTCATCTACTTTATTATATAAATATAAATATCTTTGATTACAGGGTTCCCAGGTTTCAGTGAAGATGTTGTGCTAAGTGATATACAGAATGCATGCTGTGGCTTTTCTGAAATTCCCCAAATTCTGAATGTTAAAGCCTGTAAGTTACAGAAAAGGGATTGTGGTCCATAGCCCACACCTAAGACAGTGAACTTAATAATGGCCCTAAAAATCAATTGTTTCCTGTGAACAGGAAACAGACTTTTGTTGAAACAAAACAGACTTTTACTTTGAACTACACGTCTCTGTGACCCTGGAAACCTTCTTCATCTTAGTTATGTTTTTTATACAAAGAATATGTATATATTTTACACAGAGGATATGTGTTAGCTTCTTCCTCTTCCAGTAACCAAAGTGACCATACACAAAATAAGCATGTTGAGATACTGTTTACAGATTTTCTATTCTTACACATATTACAAGAACAATAAACTCTATGGAGGCAATAAGTAGCTCTGTTTTTTATTTATTGTTGCATCAACTGGTGCAATACTGAAGTCACAGCTCAATCAAAACTTACCGAGTTGAGCAAACTTGGTTTGGACACTGCCATCTGCTGGCTACAGGTAAAAATTAGTGTTCTATAAAATAGTATGGCAGTGGTTGGGATTTTTACAAAAGAAAAAAATATGAGAACATGAAAAAATGAAAGCAAAGTCTTTGTAAATAGGGAAGGGTGCACGGGTGAAGGGAATTCCCAAATCCATGGAATGGAGAAGAGAGTGCCATAAATAAACTCTGACTCAAAGCATATTCTACATGCCTCAAGACATATACCTATCCTTTTAGACTAGTGTTATAATGTCAGCTAATTTAATAAAGTTGGGCACTGTTATGCTTTAGATCTCAAATGTGCCCCAAAAGTCTTGTTCGGAGGCGGGCCCTGGTAGGAAGGTGTAGATGACTGGGATTGAGACCTCCAAATGTGTAATCTTGTGGCTGGATTCTGCCCCACAACTACCCTGTTGATTTCTGCACTGGAGCCAAGTGACTATGCATGGACTGAAACCATGAGCAAAAATAACTCTCTCTGCCTTCAAGTTTCAGATGTGGGGTACTTTGTTCCAGTGACTAGAAAGTGACTACAAATGGCCTCTTGTTTCATTCTTTCCCTTCTGCGACAGAATGAGAACACTGATTGGGAAGCATGCTTTGTGAAATAACATCATGGTATAAGGTTCTATGGTTATAATGACAGAGGTGGTGTCACAAGCATTCTGAGTAGAGTAGGCAGATCCATCTCCAGAATGTGTTTATTCCACTGTGGATCACTGTCTTCACCTTCCACTGCAGAAGAGAACTAATACAATCAACTGTCCATAAGGTTACTAACAAGGCCTCTCCAGGTAACAGCAGCATAGAAGGGTTTCCCTGTTTGTGCCTTCTGTTGGTGAATTAGACATAAAGGAACAGCATTAGTAAGGAGAAGCTGCCAACTCTAGCTCTACCTGTTTTGTCCAAGACATAGCGAATAAGCACTGTGTAGCTGGTGACATCCAAAGAGCACCTCATTTTATCCACCTAATGATTAAAAGTTGCAGCAGTGAAAATGATGGGCATTCACACAGGACAAAAATGTCTGCCAGGTCCTCTGCCCCTTTGACACTTCCATTCACATACTTCTCCAGACTTGCTTGTCACTAATGTTTCATCCACTCTGTCAGAAACTGGCCATAAACAGTATTCTTTGTCTTGGGCTACTACTCGTTCCAGACAAAGCAGACAGCCAACAGCACCAATTGAAGTTCCAAACGTTGGAAATATTTTTATTCACCACTGTCTTCCAGAGTTGCCCCTAGGTGGTCCTGTGGGACTTCACCTGTCTACTTTCAGGTGCCAGTAGAATAGCACAAATCTATGTTTGTAGGCCAGAATCAAGTTTGTTTCTTCCTTGGAAAACTGATAGGAACTCTTCAGGAGACCATGGGCAAGAATGGAAGAGGAAGAGGCAGTGCAACAAGTTTCAGTGTTGGGTTTTGAGTCACACTACAAGCTTTGGCAATTTAGTTGTACTTTCTAGAGTAGCCCCAAACTGATCTTCCGTTTGATAATGCACACATGCGACCTTATGTCTAGGTGAGTGCAGCCAGCTGAAAAATGGCTCCTCAAAGATATTTATGTTCTAATCCTGAGAGGTGATGAATGCCACCTTCCATGGAAAAATTAAAGGCAATTATTAAAGATCAAGAAATGAAAAGACAGACTTGGATTAATCAGGTAAGCCTCACATGCAAACACAGGTATCCTTAAAAGAGAAATGGGGAGATTCGACACACAAGGAGGCAGTGAGAGTAGAGAGTGGAGAGATTTGAAGCTACTAGCCTTAACGACTGGAGTGATGCAGCTTCAAGCCAAGGAACATCAGCAGCCACCAAAAACTGAGCACAAGAGGTACATTCTCTAGAGCTTCCAGAGGGAGCATGCCCTCTGACCTTTTGATTTCAACCCAATGATAATTAAATATCTTGTTACCAATACTGTAAAATAAACTTTTGTTGTTTTCAACCACCAAATATGTGGTAATTTGTCACCACACCTGTAGGAAACCTATACAGGGATTCAGAGAAAACACAGGGCATGACAGAAAATTAGGCCACATGGTCACCACGCTTCACTAATTGTGTGGTTCCCACAAGTCTCCCCGCGAGGAAGCTTCAACAGAATAACTGACACTTGCTGAGGATGGCACAGATCTGCTCTAATATTTTAAGAGTCTGGAGAAGGCACCAGGACGCATCCTTACTTGCCACAGACATGGTGAGCATCAGTGCTCATTTCTGCTCAGGAGGCCTGATCAGGAGAGCACTTTCTACTATTGTGGAATCCTTACAACTCCGTTTCTATATTATTTCCCCTTGTGTTACGAAAAAGCAACTCGGAGCTTGGAGAACCACATTCAGTGATCTCAGCAGACTAGGGGCCAGGGTACACAGAAGGTCCCCACACACAGGCTCGCCAGAGCTCCTTCCCACCTTTCAGTGACAGGGTCGCCCTGAGAAAACAAAGAGCATCGCCGCCATCAGCACAAGACTGGAGCGCGCTTAACACTTTTCATCTTCCGCTGCCAGGAGGGAACCAGATCACAGGTCTCCGAATCTGCACAGTGGCGCCGCGTTCTCCCCACTGCGCAGATGCCCGCAGCTGCTTCCGCTAGAGGCGGGGCCGGGGTATGACAAACTTGGGAGGGGTTTACCGCTGGAGGCGTGGCTATAGGGCGGGGCGGCCCTTGTTGCGCGGCTGCAGCAAGGGGGTGGGGTCGTGAAGGGCGGTTCCGAGACATCCTCCCCCTTCTGCCTGGCTATGCCGAGGGAGCGTCGCTGGGCCCCGG